TCATGAGCCATGTTTCCTGCTCACCAGGATCTCAGTGGTCAGGCAGTCGAGCACAGCTGGCAGGTAGATGAGAATGCATCCACAGAACATCCTTTTCAGCTCATTTGAGATTTGGGGCTGTAGTTGAGATATTATTTGAGCTTTTGAGATGTTAATCAGCTGCTGTTGGTTGTAGAAAACTGCCTTGTTGCCATGGTTACGCATCATAACAAATGTCCAAAACTAAAAAAAAGTTTTGGTAAAAATCCTTCCAGCTGCACAGCATCCGATACCAGAGGAAACAATCATCCAAAAAATGTGATTTACATCCAGAAAAAGAGGAATTAAAGTTTCCAAAAGCAAAATCTCAGAATGAAAGTAACAGAGCTGCTCCAACATGCAGCCACCTTGAGCTGCACAATTCTACAATTCTTCAAGGCAATCCCATAGCAGCTAGGAGACATAGTCCAATCTGTCATAGTTTACCATACCATACCATACCATACCATACCATACCATTTTTTTATAGAGCACTTAAAACAGCTACAAGGTCAACCAAAGTGCTGTACAGACAGAACAACAGGCAACACACAAAGCAATATACAAAATGAAGTAAATCAAAAATATAGACATAAAATCCATCCATCCATCCATTTTCTTTACCCGCTTATTCCATTTTGGGTCACGGGGGTCGCTGGTGCCCATGTCCAGCAATCACTGTGCGAGGGGCGGGGTACACCCTGGACGGGTCGCAAGTCCATCACAGGGCTAGACATAAAATCGATGCAGATAATAAATATGACGACAAACCAGTGTGGAGCGTACAGGTTCAAAACCCAGATCCTCTGGTGTTGAAAACTACTGAATAGTAGTGAGTTTTTAAACGAGATTTGAAAACCGAGAGGGAGGGAGCCAGTCTGACAAGCAGAGGTAACTCGTTCCAAAGTCTTGGTCCTGTTACAAAGAAGGCCCTGTCACCTCTGCGCTTAAGACGAGTTCCTGGAACTGTGAGCAGCAACTGGTCCGTTGACCTCAGGGAACGTAGTTTAATCTTTCTAAGTCATACCTCAAGGTCTCCTCTTGGTGTAACATGTTTGACACATCTTGTAAGTTAAGTGTTCAGAAAGCCTCCTCACTAGATACTCTAATTACTTCAATGAGTCCCTTTTAACGAGAAGGAGCAGTGACAGTGCTCTTAGCAAAATATTCAAACTCCTCACCCTGTCCCTAAGGGTAAATCCAAGAGTGAGGATTGGTGTCATTGGTGGGTGATATTATTTGTATCCAAGGTTCAGAGTTCCAAAAAAATTAAGATTAAACTAAGACCAGGTAAAAAGGTCAATGGTTTTGCAGGGAATAAAGGATGACCAGCTTCAGGTCTCTCTTGTAAATGAGTCCCAGAGGCTCATTGGGATTAACCTGTATAAATAAAGGTTGAATGAATAGGAGTATCTGCAGAGGACAGTGGATAGAGAGTAAAAGGAATTCAGATATCTTGTAATTCTTAATATCGACAAAAAAGTTTTTATTGGTTGTGTTCTTTATCTGGTGGACAAACAGGTTAGAATTACAAGTCCGATTCTCAATGGGTGGTTTTTAGGTAAGTGGCTAATACCTAAGAGAGAGAAAGTGGCAGCACAGGCAGGTAGGCAGTGTAATGATCTTGGGGAACCCATATTTGTATGAGACAAGACTTCAAGATACAAAGATTAAACAGTGTTTATTTATATACAGTAAGTGGCAGTATTTATAGGTGCTCTCCTGGAACCCCTGAGGAGAAAGAATAAGGTCAGGTGGGTCTAGGCAGGGGCTGAATGTTGAGGTTGATTTGTTTGTCTTTCCATACAGGCCTGGACGTGGAGGTGGAACACAGAGGTGAACCCAGAAAGGGTTCCAGAGATGGAGGATCAGGCAGGATAATCAAGGCAGGCAAGTGGCTGGACGGCAAGGCACAAGGAACGAGGAACAGGATCTAGGCTGAATTGGATAGGATCCAAGGAGGCAGGATGACTGGAGGGACGAAGAACAAGGTAAGTATTTCTATAATAAATACAACAGGTCAAACCATGTAAAGTATAATAAAGTATAATGCTCCAGCGAAGAGTAGCACTCGACTGCAGCCTTAAGTAGTGTAGGACCGCATCAGGGAGATTGCCAACAGCTGGTGGCAATTAGTGGCCATCTTGGAGAGAGGATCTGCAGACGGTGGTTCTCTACAGGCAGAACGCTGACTTGAGAATGACCTTTTATGTGGCTGTTGGGGTTCACTGTCCAGGGAAATGGGGAGTGTAGTAAAGAGGTGATAAAGAGACTCCAGGCAGGATGGAGTGGAGGAGAAAAGTTTCAGGAGTGATTTGTGACAAAAGAGTGTCAGTAAAGGTCAAAGAAAAAGTTTACAAGACTGTGGTGAGACCAGTTATGTTGTATGATCTGGACTGGAGACAGTGGCACTGACAAAAAGACAGGAGAAAGAACTGGAAGTGGCAGAAATGAAGTTGTTGAGGTTCTCCTTAGGAGTGACAAGGATGGATAAGATTAGGAATGAGATCATCAGAGGTACAGCACAGGTTGAACAACTGGGAGATAAAGTTAGAGAGACCAGACTGAGATGGTTTGGACATGTCCAGAGGAGGGACAGTGGGTATATTGGTAGAAGGATGTTAGACGTGCCAGGATTTTTTTTTTCATTTACCCTTTATTTATACAGGTAGTCTCATTGAGCCACGATAACTCATTTTCAAGAGAGACCTGTTTTGGGAGCAGATGGTGGGGGTTAAGAGCCTTGCTCAGGGGCCCAGCGTGGGACAGATGAGGGTGGAGGCAGATGTGGGTGTTTCACCTTTTCCACACACATTTTAATGTTGACGGTACCAGGAGTTGACCCTGCGACTTTCTGGTCACAGGGCCATCTTATTTAACCTCTGCGCCACCACTCCCGTGAAAACAAACAAAGAGGATGTAAATGGAAGCAGTTTTAGAAGACATGGAGGTAGATGGAGTGAGGACAGAGGTTGCAGAGGACAAAGTAAGATGGAGGATGATGACTCACTGTGGTGACCCCTGAAGAGGGAAAAGCTGAAAGAAGAAGAAGAAGACAGGGCTTGGATGAGGATTCTCACCAGAGAGAAACTCAGAAGAGAACAAGTTTCTTGTCTGGTAAATAACCATGATAATACTGCAAGGTAAGTTCAAGGAATAATTCACTTCACAAGGCTCAGAAAACTGTCAGTAGATTAACACCATGTGGCAATTAATGGTTCATCCAGCTGGCTCACGGTCCAACTCAGCGTTAAGTAGTCGAGGTGTTAATCAGCCATCATGGGAGACAGCTTTGAATCAACCAACACTGCCCACTCACGGGACCTGCACAAGTTGGTTAGAAAGAGACAAAAACACTGGACTCCTAACAGCTGGAACATAGATCACTTGGTAAATTGAGCACTTCGCCTTTCAGCTCGGCCCTTTCTTCACCACAAAAGGTCGGCACAGTGCCCACATCACTGCAGATGCTGTACCACTCCTGTCTCAACCTTTAAACTTCTCATTCTGTTCTACACCCACTTGTGAACAAGAGTTTGAGATAAATTAAATTTCTTGACAGAAATTTGGTCCAAAATTCTTATGAACAAAATTAGTGACAATGAGCAACATGGCCTAAACAATCCAGTCCCTTTCTGGAAGATTGAAGTGTTACACATCATTTTCAGCCCCGTTTTTGGCATTTGCATTTGGTAGCAGTCCAAAGTGACAAAGACCATGCAGAATTATATATTGCTTCTATTGAAAATCTTAATTTTAACAATAAAAAACGTCTAAGAACAAAAACTCTAATGCAGAAATGTAATTTTATCCTATAAGCAGATCCCTTTGTTGTTTATTATTCCTTTTCTCTTAGTATTGTGTTTCTTTGTTCATTGTTTCAGATCCTCTGCTATTTAAACTTGAAGTTATTTTTATATATTTGTTGATATAGTTGCATTTATATTTAGTTAAGAACTGTGAGGTCTAGTTTGAAAGGGTCTTTGATAGTTATGTATCTTTTTTTTATTGTGTTTTGATGCTTCTTTGGATTGGAAGATTTTTGTAATATTGTCTGTTTGAAATAAAGTAAAAAAAAAAAAGACCATGCGGAATTATTTTCATTCTTTTCGTTCAACCTTTAGTTATACAGGTTAGTCCCATTGAGCCTCAGGGACTCATTTACAAGAGAGACCTGATTTTAACAAAGAGTGATGACAACAGTGGATAAACAATGACAACAAAACACAATCATAAAAGAGGCATACAAATAATTTTTTGTATAATAATAATTTTTATAATTTTATAATGATAATGATAATATTTGTAAAATTATTTTTATTTAAATTTTTATAATAAAATTTATAATTTTATAATTTATAATATAAAGACTCATATAGTATTTTAATTCCGCAGCAGAGAAAACTACTGTAGTCTCTGTAAGTAGGTATGGGGGGAAAATATCGGTATCAGTATCGACTATAGGCCAAATAAATTTTAACATATCTGGCATATCAGATATCGGCCAAAAATCAAATATCGTGCATCCCTAAAGAACAGGTCTTAAGTATTTATTTTACACAAATACATGTATTTCCATTGCATTAAAGAGACAATTTGAAGGAACATGAGGGGCGTCACTGAAACTTTTTCTCCCCTGTAAGGGTTCCCTGAACCCAAAAATTTTGAGAACCCCTGCTGTATAGAAGATTAGATAAAGTCTTTTCATTTTTTTTTTTTTTTTAAATTTTAAATTGAGGAACATCATTCTAAAATTGTAGCACTGTTGTCAGATGTAGTTTTTCACAGACTGGTGAACCTCTGCCCATTTTCACCTCTAAAATGCTCTTTAAACCCAGTTCTCTTGATTACTGTATACTGCAACATTGGAAGGCGGTGAGCTCGGGCGCGTTTCCTCAAACCACCACCAGGTGGTGCTGCTTCCCAGCGCGTCTGTCACTTTCTGGGAGCTCGAGCTCCGGAGGCGGCGCGCGCTCGTCTCCTCATTGTTCTGGGAGTAGGAAGCGTTTCTTGCCTCTCGGCCCACACATTCGTGTCGATGGCTGCCGCGCCGAAACCACGTCCCGCCTGAGAGGGAGTCGGTTCGGCTCGGGACCAGAACGCCAAATTCGTGCGTGGGATTTACCGGAGAGAAAGGAAAAGCTCCGTGTCTCCCTGGGGGACGGCTCGTGGACCCCGGAGGAGGAGCGGGTAAGGTTTACCTTTAGCTTCTTCTGTTTTTTTTTTTTTTTTTTAATGAAAATGAGTTTTATTCTCAAATACGTAGCAGTTTTAGCAGTAAAACCCGAATTCTTTTAAAGTAACTTTTCTTGTTGATAGCATAATCCCGCTTCTGTTGTTACCATTTTCCTAATCTGAGTTTAGGGGGCGCTTCTCAGTGTAACAATAATCAATTATAATCTCATCCAGTGGGTGATAAACACGTTTCTTTTCATCTCATTAGACATTAGACAGCTTTAAGTTAGTTTCCCCCATTTTTTGTTGCTGCTTTAAAATGCATTTCCAGCAAAGCTGTCTAACCTCATCGACTTTAATCTGAGAGCAGGTTGTCTTGCTGTAACCTAGTGACATCTTGGGCCTGAAGGGATTATTACTCTGCTAACCCACATTCTGCAGCTCAGCTGTGCTTTGACTTCACTCAGGCTTCATCTGCTTTATTTCACCAAACAAAGCTGCCTCCACCCTTTTAGGTGTCCCCATTGATTTCTGAGGGACACATGTCCTGTTTGCACCCCACCCCCTCACACCTTTTATTCTACTACAGGCTGGGGTCAGAGGTCACCGAGGAGGCAGCATTTTCACATTTGTTGCAACGCATGTAGCTGAAATGTGGTCACGTTCTTGTAATAATCAGTGTGGTGGTGAGGCGTGGGGGGGGAGAGCGGGAGTGTCACCTTGATGGAACGTCATCAGGTGCCGTCTCGGATCGGTCAAGCGCCACAGGTGTAACTGTGAGCTGTCGTGGCCTTAAATCTTTCCGCCGCTGACTCTTCTTGTCGGCGTGTCGTTGAAGCGTCTGCGGTTCAGGTTGGTGTTTCATCGCAGGCAACAAAGCAGTAAAGTCGACCTAGCCGGACTTTATACATGTCCTGTTAATGCTGAGATTTTATATGGTCAATGGTAAACGGGCTGTACGTATACAGCGCCTTTCCATCTGATTAAGATACTCAAAGCACTTTACTACACAATCTGTGCCCTCATTCATACAGCACTCTACTGTATCTCTACAGAGAATAATCAGCTGCTGGTCCAGAATGCAGCAGCCCGATTTTTAACCAGTACAGGCAAAAGAGAGCACATTACACCAGTTTTGGCCTCACTGCACTGGCTACCGGTTCACCTTTGAATCCAGTTCAAAATACTCCTGTATGTTTTCAAAACCCCTGAACATTTCCCCCCCCCCCCCCCCCATCTCTCTTGATTTGCTACAACCGTATGTCCCACCACGTTTCCTGAGATCAGCGGACCAGTTGCTCCTCACAGTTCCAGGAACTCGTCTTAAGCGCAGAGGTGACAGGGCCTTCTCTGTAGCAGGACCAAGACTTTGGAACGAGTTGCCGCCGCTTGTCCCTCTCGGTTTTCAAATCCCATTTAAAAACTCACTACTATTCAGTAGCTTTCAACACCAGAGGATCTGTGTTTTGAACCTGTTTGCTCCACACTGGTTTGTCGTCATATTTATTATCTGCATCGTTTTTATGTCTATATTTTTGATTTACTTCATTTTGTATATTGCTTCGTGTGTTGTCTGTTGTTCTGTCTGTACAGCACTTTGGTAGGCCTTGTAGCTGTTTTAAGTGCTCTATAAATAAAATGGTATGGTATGTATCTCTACAGAGAATAATCAGAGCTTTATCACATTCATACATTGATGGGACACACATCGGAGGCTATGAGGGGTTCACTGTCTTGCCCAGGGACACTTCAGCATGTGACTGCTGGTGGAATCGAACCTCCAGCTCTTGCATTGGAGGACGACTGCTCTAACCACTCAGCCACAGCCGCCCCATATTTACAGTAGATATTCAGCTGTTCCAGCACCTTTTAGTCATATTGCCAAAATGCAGCAACAAATCTAAAAGGGAGGACAACAATCAGATAAAGGAACGTAAATTTAAAAGCACAGCACCACTTGTAACTGGTAATAAGAACGGTAGGCATGCACGATGTAGGATTTTTGGACGATATCCAATTCCAAAATTTTTCATATACTTTCATTTGTTAGAACATAGCCCTCTTATTTAGGCTTATTTGCTACTAAAATTGTGCAACAGCTGTAAGAGCTGGTGACATACAGTATATTCAGTAACAGCCATATGATATGCAGAGCACTTTAACTTATATTAAATGAAAAGTGTTAAATGTTATTGATTAGCATTAGTCACCTGCGATGCTGTCTCACTTGTTCCAGGTTCCTAGCTGCAGTAGCTATGTTTACATGTGCAAAATTCTTTGACCGGATTGAAATGTTTTCAGATTAAATAATTCAAATGTATCGTTTACATGGGTACAATCTGTTCATGACGAGTATTTACATGCAGCGGGCTTTGTTCTGAATAGAGGTACTGACATGCGTAGAGTGGTAAACTCTCCTTAAAAAAAACACAGAACAAGAAGTTCTACTTCCTGTTTACTTCCGGGATGAACGTAAACAAACCCGAGCGCCCAAAATGGACCCGCGACAGGTTTTAATGACAGAGGAGACGTTACTGCACACCCTGACTGAGCTACAGGTAATACAGATCAGTTTGAGCTCTTTCAAAGTTTCTAGAAGAAATACCATGTTGCTCACCGACCAGTTTTATTTCCCCGTCAGCTAATATTATTAGCATTAGCCAGGCGGAAATGAAAAAGTCGCACATGTGCAGTAATGTCAGTTTTTCTCCATCAGATAAAAACGAACAGATCAAGCGTTTGCATGCGCACCATGAATCGGCGTAAACCACCCGTTTCGTTCTGATCCCAAATTATTTCGGATCACGCTGAATTAACAAAAAATAACCCGAACGGGGCATTTACATGACTCATTTTTATTCCGAACGGCCGTTTGATCCGATTACTTATGTCCATGTAAACATAGCTAGTGTGGGATCCTCTGCACTCCTGTGCATGAAGGACAGTCTTTTTAAGTTCAAAGTGTTTGTCTATCCATTGTGCCGTAAGACTAATCATGCTAACGGGGCTAACACGACGTCCAAACGTCTGTGGTAAAACTCATCCAAGTGCTATTGGCTATTAGCTTCTCAATGATGTCGGAAATGACGGCTTGTGACTCTGGTAACGTTACGTCGGAAAAATATCTCTGACTGGGGACGATGTAGTGAGGCTCAACGTAGCCCAAAAATCTTTGGATCCTCAACGAAAAATAAAAACTTCTACACCTCCGACATTTTGACTTTTTCCTCTCAGGTAGGCGCGTGACGTCATCACCTTGTGCTGGCGCTGCAGGCACTGGGTTGTCTTTTATATCAGTGAGTTATTTTGATGGAATGGCCGATGTCTGACATTGAATTTTAACACTAATATCGTCCGATACCATGCCGACAATATCGTGCATCCCTAAAAAACGGCATGGCGGCTATCACGAGATATCATTGCATAAAATGTTGCTCATTAGAAAATATTAAAGCTAAAGAAAAAAATATTCTAATAAGAAACATCCAAAGATTTGAACAGCTCCGACATGCAACCTCAAAGGAAAATGCACCATAATGAAGGTGAAACTAAATTTAATAAATTGGAGCATAATTTCAAAAAACACTTTTTTTTAATGAAACGCCTCTCACTTAAAACCTGCAGTTTAATCCTCCTGCTGTCCTTGGGTCAAAATGACCCACAAGGCCTCAGTTTAAAAACATTTTACATCTTTAAAATGCAACACGATATTTGGAAATGAAATAAAATTAAAAAAGCAAAACAAATAAAACATAATGAAACATTTCAGAACAATACGAGAACATGTCGTATCTGAACGTATCACAACTTAGAAAATATTCTTTAAAAAGCAAACATCACAAAAGGCATTTAAGAAATATTTTATATATATATATTTGCTCATCTCCTAAATACAACCTAAATTGAAAAATGAAGCAAAATCTCTCAAAACTGTAATCAAGAAATTTGAAAATAATTTCATCAGACACTTGTCTACTTATAAGAAGTAATTAAAAACACAACATGACAACAAAACAAAAAAATATGGCAGCAGAAAGCGCTACGTTTAGAAAAAGAAGTCATTACAAAACTATCAACATTTTAGAAACATTCAAACCTTTCAGAAAACACAACCACAGTTTAAAAACTAATAACACAACAAGAAAGTGTCACAAACTCAAACGTTACACCTTTTCAATCTTCTTGGACAGCGGTGGGTACAACTAAAACTAAATATTTAGCTTACCTAATCAGTGTTTCCCCTAGATCAGTTCCCTTGGCGGGGCGCTCGTCGTATTTTTGTCGATGGGGGTGGGTGGAGGAGGATATGACGGTCATGTCTGTGTTGCCTGCCTGCTAGCTAAGCGCTACGTCGCTGCCAGTTTTTATCAAGGATTGGGGCGGAGTCACGTCTGGTTCGCCTGCCTGCTAGCTTAGCGCTACATTGCTGCCGGTTTTTATTGAAGACGGGGGCGGGGACAGAGTCACATCTGTGTTGCCCGCCTGCTAGCTTAGCACTACATTGCTGCTGGTTTTTATCAACGACAGGAGCGAGAATGGAGTCACGTCTGTGTTGCCCGCCTGCTAGCTTAGTGCTACATTGCTGCTGGTTTTTATTAATGACGGGAGGGAGAATGGAGTCGCGTCTGTGTTGCTCGCCTGCTAGCTTAGCGCTACATTGCTGCTGGTTTTTATCAACGACAGGAGCGAGAATGGAGTCACGTCTGAGTTGCCCGCATGCTAACTTAGCGCTATGCTGCTGTCAATTTTTATCTGGGACAGGGGCGGAGTCACATCTGTTTCGCCTGCCAGCTAGCTTAATGTTACATTGCTGTTGGTTTTTATTGACAGAGGGGAGATGTGGAATGGTACGTCAGTAGCATTTTTGCTAGCACGTTTGTATTGCGCCCCTTGTTACATCAATACCAACAGTTGTCAATTTGGGGGAATTCGGTAGGCAGGGCACTATGTTCTGTTGACGGGGTGCTTGTATAATGGTAGGGGAAACAATGCTAGTGCTACACTGCTAAACGGGT